ATAGAATGGTAGATCTCTACCATTCAGTTTGAAGAGTGTTAAAGAGCCGTCGAATAAAGAGAAGTAGGTGTGAGATAAAAAAATTTAAGGCCATGGATTCATTGCTTACAAGGAAATAACCTCCCACATATTTGTACGCTATAAAGTAAAGAATAAGCAACAAATTGCTCCCTTGGAATTAATCAACAACCAAGGAAAGACAAGTATTGGGATTATTTATTTTTGTGGTTGTTATAATAATAATTTATTTCTATTTTTCTTCAACATAATATTGCACATGAATGCCCAATAAAAATGAATAATCTAAGCTCTCCTAGCTGCTGCTTCTTAATATGTTAACCAGCAACTTTAGATGGTTAAGATACTCAAATACTCAACTGAAATTTACTGTGAAAGCGTAATTTTTGGAAGACAAAGGATCATATTTCTCATATTTAATCCTCCGCATGGGAATCTGATCTTATCCCAAGATAAACTAAGGAAAGGAGGAGAAACTTGGAGGAAGACAAACTAAAATTAAGGTGGATGAAAAATTAGAAAAGAAGAAGATAAAAACAGAAAAAAAGACAGGATGAGATGCCTACAACTAAAAAAACATGGAAGGGGCGTAAAAAAAATCAAGAAAAGGGATTGAAATTAGGAACTCGAGCCACTAGAAGGAGCACGAAAGAAAAATAGCAAGAAAAATGTTGACTGCATCAAATCTAACCCCTCTTAAAATTAGTTGCTCAACAAAGCCAGCTAACATGACAACCTTGGCTAGTGTCCTCTCAGAGCAGTGTCACAATTGCAGAATAGCTCAATTAGCACCCCCTTAATATTGAATGCTCCAATGATAATCTAGTGAATGGATAAATTCTGATCAAGGTAAACTACAGTCTGGTTCACGGGATGCCTGCTTCTAGCCACCATTAGCCAAGTGCCAAGCACAAAACATCAAGATATGCCTAGTTGGTTACCAACACACCCAAGTGGTTGTGCATGCTATGGCGGTTAAATCAATGTTTGATGGTTATTGAGTTGAAAAGATGAATGGCCCTCTGATAGGAAACTTGAAAGAAGGCGTACAAATAGGAAGCCTAATTCCATGAGAAGGGGATAGAGAGTACTTGATTTCCAAAAGTCGATGAGAGAAAAAGGGCATCAGAAGATTCTTTCATACTCTACTTCCTATGATAGCCAAGTGAGAAGGATCTCTACTAATTCGGTGCCAATATACGCACTCCAATAATCTGATCTACTCGGGTACTATTCTTTCTTCCTTGAATTAATAGAATTTTATTTTACTTCCTTCTCATTGTTCATTGCTTCTTGCTTATCAGTCCAAGTATAGATTAATCTCATAGCTATAACTTCACAAGCAAGATCAGGCTTCAACATTTAAGGTTCAGTGAGTATATAGAACCATGAATTTCAGGCGCAAAAGGATCAAAATAGATTGTGACAAAGGAAAAGCATCAGACAATGACATCCAGCATGCGAGTGCACAACAATCTAGCATTTTCTGTTGGATGATACAAAAATTGATGGTAAGCCTTTAGCGCCTACAGCCTCTCCTATAGATAGGTGGAGTTCCAACCCTTCCCACTCCAAATCTAGCTCCTCACCCTCCAAAGTAACTATCAACTTTACAAACCAATCCTAAAGCAAAGAACTTGGTGATATGTGATAAGTTTCATAGAATGCCCCAACCTCTATCAAATAAACCAGCCCCAAAGTGCCAGTGTCAAAGCACTTAAAAGATAGAATTTTAATAGTAATCGGGATGAGGTCAATAGATGAGAGGGGAGACAATCTCCACCCTAACACACAATACATCGCATAGAGGATTCACACAACTAAATAACATGATAGAGGACGTAGTCTGAGACAAGCGAGTGAAGGATTATCTCATATATCAAATGGCTAATTACCCCATCAAAAAAATCAGGATCAACAGTGTTGGTCGTGTCAATAAAGTAAATAAAGATTATTAAGGTTATCTCTACTATCTTTGGAGCGGATGAGGCTGCATAATGATTGGATTTGAAGCAACTCTCAACATGAGAAGTGTTCCTAGTTCAGAGTTCACAATCCAACCCTCCAATTGTCTTCCGCATCCAAGATTTACCTCATATATAAAACAAATATTATGATGTAATCATGGTAAAGGCAATAATATATCATATGAAGTTTGAAATTTTGTTAAAGAGTATTGCAAGAAAAAACCTAAAATAGGTGCAACATGATGCTTGAAAAAAGAATTAAATTTTTGTTTATCTTTATTTTATAAAAATAGTTTTATTTTTAATTTCATGAGTAGTAAATTTTATGAGAAAAAGATCAAAATGGTCCTTCCACTATTCGGTGGGGGTCATTTTAATCCCATATTATATAAAAGGCTCAATTTGGTCACCATACTCTTTAAAAGGGTCCAGAATAACTCTATCTTCTAAACTAATAAAAATTGAAGTTAATGATTTTAAAAAATAGTGTCACATATATTTTCTTTTAAATTTTTAGTAAATATAAATTTTCATTTATCTTATTTACTTGTGTATAGCAGCTAATTTCACAAAGTTAATTTTTAAATCTTTTTAGATTTGTTGTATATTGTGTAAATTACCCTCATATGCTAAGATATTAAGTTTTGTATTTTTTTTTTTAAATAATAAAACATAATATTTTAAGTAATATATTTATTTATTTTTAAAAAAGTTAAATAAAAAAACAAATGCAAATAAAAAATGTCAAATATTTAAAAATATGTACCAAATATGGACAGATGGATCAAACATGAATGATAAAAAATATCAAAATTAATTTGCTTAGACTTAAATTGGCTATCACAAAATTACTTTAATTCAATTTGAAATCTGTAAGTTACACACAAATATACATATTCAAATATATAAAATAAATATACAATACATAAATATATTCATATTTTACATGTCATACTATATCTATTAATTATTTATTTTTAGCTCAACTCTAGTTTTTATCTTGACTCAAAATCAATATATTTTTTATTCTAAGTTGATGCTGGCTCATATGAACTCAGCTAATCACCTATCATACTTATTATCTTTCATGTTAATCTTCAAAACTAGTTATATATATCCATGAATATTTAAAGAGTAAATTTACTCATGAGTTTGGATATTTTTCATTCGTCATGCAAAGAAGTCTAAGGTTGATAGTTTATGCTCCTCCTCAATTGGTCGAGAGCTTCCTATATAAATAATAAATCGCTTGATCATCTAGACTTCCACTTGGGTTCATGCATGTACAGGCAGTAAGCCATGAATTTTCTCCGGACCACTAACCGTAACTTCACAGATGGACTCCTCATGCGCAAAACCTATCATGTTCATTTCTGTCCTATCTCGCATCTCACCTCTTGACTCGTCCTTGATTTGGTGAGGTCACGTGTGAGAGCCTCGTCGGCTAACATAAGTTTAAAGGATGATTATAACATATAAAAATTTATTAACAGTAAAACTGAAATGCACAAAATACCATAAAGTCATGCCTCAATCATGGCTTTGGCCCTAATCCATAACATTGCCATGATATTTATCAAGCAATTCAGACATTGGACTATTTTGGTACATGTTTAAGGAATCAAGGGGTTAAGTTGGACCTTTTATATAATATGGGACAAAAATAGCTTCTCACAAATATTTGAGGGCCTGTTTTTGGTCTTTTTAACTAATTTTTATTTCAAGATATTGCAATTTTGTAATATTATAATCATACAAATTGGCCTTGCAACTATCAACTTCATTTCAAGCCATGCAAAACTCATTAGATACAATACATGCATGCCATGTAAAACCAGACACATGCTAATCTAAATTAGCCAAATTGATTTTGTCGGCCAAGGAAGGTCAAAAGTGAAGTTATTTTAAAAGGTTCTTAACACGTCTCTCCAATTCTCAAGTCTTTTTATCTCCCCCAAAATCCATGCATGCATAATGAAAATTTTAGCTAAGGGAGACCAAGTGTCTAAGTTATATGAATTCACATGACTTTTCCAAGCATATCTATAAGAGAAATTGTGGCCCACATCCATAGAGTGATTCTCCATAATCAAGATTCATGAATGAAGAATTCAACCCTCTCCAAGGATCATGCACCTCTCCAACGTTCATGCATGAAATCAAATATGCCCCCATTGTTTCTTAAAACTGTCCCAACTTTAGTAATTATCTTTTTTCACTATATCAAAATTTTATTTTCTTATGAAATTTAATTTCTTTGTAAACTAAAGATGTAACATGTTTTTTGAAATAAAAAAGAAGTTATCTTCCTTTGGAATTGGCTTGGTGGCTTATTCTCTTGGCATTATTTGGTGACCTTGCTACCCCCATTTCTTTGGTGAGAAGTAAATTATCTTTTATCTTCTTTGGCCATTAAAACCCTAAATCACCTTCATTAGCTATCTCTATCAAAGATAAATATTAAAAGATAAAGAATGAAGATCCTTGTAAATAAAAAATGGGAAATAAATCACAAAAACAATAAAAAAACAAACAGGAACATGCATGCATATCATTTAGAAATGGAATATGAAGTATATTCATTACCATTTCGACTCACTCTCCAAGACACATCAAGTAATCCGACATTTAATAGAAAAATAATATCAAGTCTAAGAACTTCAAAAGTCCACCAAAAGAAAAAATTTTGAAAACTATAAATTATAACACCCTCATAATCACCACCAGTCTTATCACAATTATTAGGAGTTGTCTATATGAATCTTCTTCTCCATTCATTCATGTTGCGACTAACATGTGATCTCAACTCTAGTTCCACAGGTCAAACATAATAAATACATGCATGCACAAATATGTAGGATCTCAATATTAGAAGAGTGTCCAATTGGATGATGTAACAGTGTAGATCAAATCATAATTGCAATAAATCTACTAGACTGGTGAGGGCAGCTGGTTGAATCATTAAAAAGGGGTACATAAAATAAATAATAGGTGATAAGCAATAAAGTATCATACTCTGATCTGTAACTCTTTGACTTCCTCGTACAGCTAATACAGCATCCTTTAGATCTTTCTCACTCAAACCAATGTTTTTGAACAACTGCTGCCCAAATCTCTTATCTGAGAACAATGCCAATATGAGGTGCTCTACTGACAAGAAGTCATCACTAAATTCCTTTTTATACTTCTTTGAGGTGTCCAGAAGAGAGACTAGATTCTGTCCCACAATTGGCCCACTAGTATCACCAACTATCTACAGGAAAAATCAAAATTTTAACATTCCGCTAACCAATTTATTTCAACTCTACTCATGATATAAAGAATAGTAATTACCTTCGGCTGTGAAGAGATAAACTGATCTGTTGCTTGTAAAACTGTAGTATTGTCAACACCAGCCTTCGTGAATATTCTTCGAGCCAAACCATCTTTCTGCTCCAAAAGGGCTTTCATCAAATGTTCAGTCTCCACAACTTGTTGTTTACTCGTTCTTGCAGCATCTACAGCACCAATAATAGCCTCCCATGCCATTTCAGTGAATTCACCCTGATTAATCTGCTCAAATAAAGTTAAATTTAGAATTCTACAAATATTAAGGTACGAACTTGCTGCACTGATGGATCCTTAATACTGGAAATATGGTTGATAAAGAAAAGAGGATCCTTTTTGTCACCATAATTACCATCATCATGGCATGCAATACAATGAATTAAAAAAAAAATGCATGAAAGATATGAATGCAAAAAAGGATCAGCTGACCAATGTGAGAGATTCATGTAGCTAATATGCACACCATTGTTCTATAATCATGCATACTTAATAGGCCTTACAAATACTTTGGATGCTAATTTTTTCATTTAGAATTGTACTGGCATCATCTTGCACCTTTCCCATTTTAATTTATTTCAATTTCTAACCAAACAGTAGTTTTGCATTTTATTTTTATGTTTTTTCTCTATTTTAGTTTCATGCGGCATAAAAAGTGGACACTCCATTTCAAAAACTGCAAAAATAAAGGCCATTTCAATACCATCCAAGGTCCAAAAAGTAAGAGTAACATATACTTTTTGTTCACCTTTTTTCATTCAAAACTATGATTTTTCCACCAACATTTCCTATACATTTGCAAATGATATTTTCGTCGGCTCAATGGAAATAATTCAAGTAGTAAATAAAATAAATCAAATACATGTAAGAAAAATAGACTTTGAAAGAACTCATTGTTGATCCCATGAGCCCATATGACTCATAAATAGCTCATTATTTGATCTAATGATAACAAATTTTGAGTGGTGTCATCTAATGGTTTGTAAATATTTCACTTCAAGGTAATCAAATTCTAGCAACCATGAAGAAAATGTTGACTTCCACTTAGCTCCTTGGAGGGTTGGTCACTTAGAGGAGAGCACCAAAAGTGAATTCAAGAAGAATAAGATGAATAATCTTTGCTCAAATTGAAATTAGTCTAGTGTACGTCTAATAACTTAAATCTTATTATATTTGATTGAGTAGATTTACTAAATAGCTTCAAGATAGATGAACATTTCATTAAAAATAGTAAAAATATCTAAGAGTCATTTTAAACTTATAAAATTAGCTTAAAATTTTTGAGGAATTAATTGGGTTGATTTTTTATTTATTTACTTTATTCCCAGTTTATTGATATGTCAAAATTTGCTCAATTATTAATGTATTTTTGTTATCATGTGCTTCATATGACTATTCACATGATTTTATTCACTCTTATATGATAGCATCTTTAACTGATCATGAATTTTCTATTAGAAAAATTAATCATGCTTTATGCAATAATTATTTCATTAATCATCTAATTAAGAATAATGAGCATATTTTGTATATTAATAATATTTTATTATGTATTTTGTATATTGACAACATTATTTGGATTTTCATGTTTCAAAAATTACATCAAATTTGTCAAATGTGCTTAATATTTGATTCATCAAGTATTAATAAAATTTATTTTAAGACTAAATATATATTTATTTTATGTATTCATAAGTAGCTTCTAATATTGTGGTCATAGAATATAGAATATTTTTACTGTGAATATATATATATATATATATATATCCCTAAAACTATATCTCTGACATTGATGCAGGACAACCATGTGTGTGCTAGTCATTGATCTCCATTTTTGTAAGCCTACCTCTGTCAAAAATTCCACTTATTTATAGGATTACCATCGATACTATATAGGATTCCATTTGTGCATGTGCTTCTTGCTTGCGCATACATGCATGAATCCAGGTTTATCAAAAGTTCTATGTATTTACAAAACTATCACTGTTGTTATGCACTTCATCAAAACTTTGTGTTATTTATGATAGCACATCAAATTATTGGCTTCAACCATTTCTATGCATAACCCTCAACTTCCAACATTTGCGCAAATTGTTTCATCAAAGATTTGTAGAATTTAGTTCTATAACAGTGTAGCTTTGGAAGATTGAAGGAGCAAAGCTCTATAATATAAAAAACAACCAAAAAGTTTTAAGAGTAAAGCTTTCACACTACATATAACTATAAGAAACAGGTGTGAAGTGATTCAATAATAGAGACCTTTGGAAGTTTTTGCAGATAGAATTGCCTAAATCACTAAAACTCCACCCCGGTGATAAAAAAAGAAGAACTTGAGAAAATGCAAAACAATGAGTGTTTTTTTTTTCCCAAATATAAAGGGACGTCAGCCACTCCCAACCACCTTGCTCAACCAATGCTTGAAAACCAAACAAAACCTAAGCTCAAATGGTTTTTAGTTAGCTTCTTTATCAGTTCAGCCACAAACATGAATGAAACCTTGTTCTTTCATGACTCATATGGACAATCAGTTAAACAGGCTAACTTCAAAAAAAAAAACTAAAAAAATTGTTTCTTGCTCCATAAGCAATCTAAAATCAGTCAAGATTTCCCTAGTACAAGATTCACCTTGAGTCGACAAACAGAAATCTTCTATCTCTGAACATCAGCAGATAAAAAAAAGCTCTCAACAGGAAAACTCGCGCAAAGATAATATCTTCAACAAAAAATCCCCAAGAGATCTAATCTAAATAGATAATTCAAGGCTTTACAGGTACAACCAACGTATAAACGATACCTGGGAGGAGCTTCCATAACCAGACTGCGAAGGCGAGTGGTAACGACGAAAGAAGAACCATTTCTCCGCACAAGAGCCCGGAGCCGCGGCCAATACTCTAACCCCCATTAACGGAACTACACCGCGGAAGGCTGCGGCAGATTCCAGCTCAGGCAAGAAAAGGCATGGTGAAGCGCCGGAAGCTGAGATCCGGCGGCGCACTGCCGCTGGGGCAGACCTTGCGAATCTGGCTGCCGCGGTTCGAAACAACATGGGGAGGAACTTCTTTGTTTTCGCCTTCGGAGGAGGGAAAATAGGATCTGCGAGGCTATAGACAGTGAAGCAGGGAAGCGGTGGTCATGCAGGAAGGAAGGATTAGCCTGAGGGTTTAAAGAGAGGAAAACCCCGCTGAAGGCCGTGGAACTGTTGAGAATGTTCCACCGGACTCTTTGATATAATAGAAATTAAGGCCAGCAAAAATCGTTGGATCCAATTCCACGAATGTGGCGAACCGCACGCGCCTATTTGAAATCAAACCAGGTCAAATTATTAGGTGCCGTCACCCAATCTAAAAATAAGTCCGAATAATCAATTAAAATTTGCTACATGTATTATATTTTGACTGTATTTTTTGACTGCGCTTTAGGTGTGCTTTACATAAGCTTTGACTGTACTTTACTTGCGCTTTGATTGTACTTTTTAACTGCGCTTTACCTGCACTTTACCTGTATTTTACCTGCACTTTTGATACATTTGACTTAAAATTCCGCCGACACGTGCACATTCCAATGTCAATATTTTATTGGTGTCCGGACCTATCTCTACGTCCAGTTACCACACCTAATAATTTTCCTGAAACAAGACCGCTACCAAATAGGCTTTTGTTTTTTAGGCTATAAAAAATTATTTTTCCATTTCTAAATAAATATTTATAATCTTTATAATAATATTTTTATAATTAACTTTTCACACATAATATTTATAATCATCTTCACAAAAAAATACAAATACTAAATTAGAGATTTTTTTATTAACTTAATGGTAATGTTATGTTAGACTAGAGAGAATTATATATATATGTACATTCCACCTTTCTCAATTTTCAGAACCGTCGAGTTTGGCGGTATTTTCTGTCCGGATTTTGTTTCCGTTACGGTTTTTCGTCCGTATCTTTTGATTGGTTCAGTTTTTACCGCGTAACTTTCTGTATATTGTTGATGTGCCGAGTGTGCACATTTTGGTTATTTTTCGAAGATTTTTGTCCGGGTATTTTTGATTCGGCGGAGTTTTTCGTAGACTACATTTTTCTGTGAAATTGTAAATTCTCTGTGCAGTAGAATAAATGTTCTGGAATGTGATTATCTATATTCTGTGCGAATTTGGTAAATTTTCTTTGCAGGAAATTTTGTGTAAATTCTGTCTACTGCCGTTGTGCTGCCCGATTTTTGTCTGATTTCTGAATTGCCCGGATTTCTTCTGAATTGAAATGCTATGTGTATAAGCTATAAAAAGGGAGCTATAAGGGGCCTGGATCCTATGAGATTCAGTTAGTGTCTGGGGAAATTTTAGTTGAGCTCAAGTGGAGAAATTTCTGTTCTGTCCCGGATCCGAGGAATTCTATTATTCTGGTGCCGTGAGCACATTTAGCTTAGCTATTAATTATTCAGCGAATTTCTGGTGCCGTGAGCACAAGGGAGACATAAGGGTCAGAATCCGTAGTGATTCTGTTTAGTTTAGTTTAGCTATTAATTAAATATCTGATATCCGCTATTATCTGATTCTGATTTCTGTATCTGTTCTGTAAGCATTTGTGATTCTGATACGATATGATCTGCAATTCTGATTTCTGATTTCTGTACGATTCTGACTCTGTTGATTTATTCTGTTCTGGTTGGTGATGTGATCTGATCTGTACGACTCTGATTCTGATTTGATATCTGTTCGTATGCGTTCTGATTTTTGATTATGTTCTGATTCGAGATTTGATTCTGTTCCGATTTCTGTTCGGATTTCTGTCTGATGAGTTTGGTTTTGGATTCTGAGAGTTTTGATTGGAGGATTGTTGCTTTGCTGAGCTGTTGAGCTCACTCTTGTTTTCTGGTGGTTTTCAGGTTCTGGGAAAGGAAAGGAAGTCCAGGACTAGAGTTAAGAGTCTGATCAGTATAGGTACTTTTGTACTTTTGATTTTTTGTACGGTCATGGCTTTTCTTCTGTATTTCTTCTGCTAGCCATGTACCGTATTTGTAGATGATTGTTTTGAGGAAAAGAAAGAAAATGATAGATGTTTTATTCCGCTGTGTTTGATGATTCATAGTAGCTCTGTGTTTGTGTGTCTTTTGAGTTTAATTATTTGGAAGATTCAGTTCAAGAACCAATTCCAAAGCCAGATCCTGGATAAGAAGGTTTTGTCGCGGCCCGGTGCGAGCGGGATCCGTCCCGGATCGGGTCGGGTCGTGACACCAAGGGGGTAGCGCTCCTTGGTGGGGTTAGACCTTCCTGGTCAGGTCACGGGGTCAAAGGCAGCGTCCTTGTGGGGGTTTCCAGTGGAAGCGCTCCCAGAACAAAATTTGATGTACTATTTCTCTTTATATTTTGTTCATCATTCCCTAACAATAACACCTCTACATAATATGTTTAATTATATTGGAGGCAATTGCCTAAAAATTATAGAAATTTAAAATTTTTAGGAGGGCAATTGCCTAAAAAACCTTATAATAAAGACTAAAAAATAGATCGAGGGAGACAAATTGCCAACAAAAATAGTATAATACGCTATTTGCACAAAATTCAAGTAAAATTTGAATAACATTTTATTCATATTCGAACTCTTATTGAATATTGTTCGAATCTTCTTTGCGCAATATATGATTAAATAAGATTTAAATGTTGCTTAAATATAATTTTAATTATATTTAAATGAAATTTTAGTGAATATAATTAGAATTTTATCAAAATATGATTTGAACCTAAGTTGTTTGAGACAAATTTGATTAAAAAAACATTTGATCACTCTTACTATACACAAATATATGGTAGATCAATATCAAAACCTTTTGAGAAATTTTTTTTTGAGTTTTTTGAGCTAATTAAATCCAAATTCACACACATAACACAATTGAAAGTTTTAGGGTAAGCTCTCATCCAACATATCAAAATTGGCTGCATCTTTTAAGATTAAGTTTTTGTTTGGAATGGATTTCTTATTGCTTCTTAAACCAACTTTAGTTTACCACAAAGTTACTTTAAGAAATAATAGAAAAAGTCGTCCCACATGAAGCATAAATGATTACCCTATAAAGTTCAATAAAGGATTCCTATGCAGCTATGCTTTATTAGCTGTTGAGTGCATGAAGGTTATGAGAGAAATTATTTTATGCGAATATCGATCCGTCCATCTGTAAGCAAATCATAACGCACTGCATCACCTGAAGCACAATTACAGTACATAAAAAAAAAAAAAAAACTTGATGCCCTCTTTTTATTAGGTCCGGTGTAAGGACGTAGAGGAAGGTCCGGTCGGAGGCAAAATCCCGCGAAAAAACTCGGTATTTGCTCGGTATTGCTAGGTATTATTTGATAATAACAAGAAATACCGTTCTGTGAAAACCAATACCGAGTTATACCGAGCAATACCGAGTTATACAACTTTTGTATAACTCGGTATTGCTCGGTATAGCTCAGTTTATCTCGGTATTGGGTCTTCACGTGATGGTATTCCTCGTTATTGTTTGGTATTGCTCGGTATTTGCTCGGTATTTCTCATTTTTTGGCGCAATTTGGCCTCCGACCGGACGTTCCTCTAGGCCCGGTCGGAGGACGTAACAATTGTTCCTCTCCCACGGCAAATTATTACATCCGGTCATCGGACCCGGAGATAGGTCCGTATATTAGTAAAATATTATTTTAAACTAAGAGCGTCGAAAGCGCAGGAGAATCGCATGTAAAACGCAATCAAAGCGCAGTCAAAGCGCAACTAAAGCGCAGTAAAAAAGCACAGTCAAAACACAGATGACATGACAAATTTTTATTGAATATCCGAACCTATTTTTAGGTCCGATCACTGGACCTAATAATTTGCCCTCTCTCACAACATTCTTATCCGCACAGAATAATTTATCAGTTTTTTTTTTGGGTAAATTTGAGGCCACAGCCCATATATTAAAAAAAGAAGTTACATGTAAAAAGAAAAGAATCCAACATAAGAACAACAAGAAAAGTTCTTATGAGGAAGAGAAGACAAAAAAACCCCAACTATACCACCCAATCATAACAAAAGTTAATTCATCATAATTAAAAGGCTAGCATTATTCTTTCTCAATGAACCTCAAAAGAATTTAAAGAACATTAAAAAAAACAGCACCCAGTCACACCCCGCCAGTCGCCGGCGGCCGCACATCTTTTGCCCAAACCAAAAAACCAAAATGTCCATTAATCTACGTTTATGGCACTCACATTCTCGCTCCCCCTCTCCCACGCCAAGAGCCGCTTCACTCTCTCCCTTCTCCTCCTCACGCCTCTTATACTCGCCGCTCTCTTCGTCGCCAATCAATCCGTTCCCTTATTCTCTATTTCCCTCTCTGCCTCCCCCGACCTCTCCCTCTTCCGCGCCTCCCGTCTCAACTCTTCACATTCCCTCCATCTCCTTCCTCTCCCATCGCCTCCGCTTCTGCCACCGTCACAGGCGGAGGAACCTTCCATCTCCCCTTCCTTCCTGCCGTTGCCTCCTGGCGAGGACTCTGCAGCAGACGATGAAGAGGATCGAGGAATGGATGAGGACAGTTCTTCCCTTTCGTCTTCTCATGCTCCTTTGAAGGACCAAAAGATCTCTGAGCCTGAATCTGCGGCGTTGTCGGTCCTCAAAAGAGGATTCGCGCTGGAGGCTGATCAAGAAGGTGCTGCAGTGAATAGCAAGGATGCGAAGAAGTGCGATTTATACAAAGGAAAGTGGGTAAGAGATGAGGAAGGGCGGTACCCGCTCTACGCTCCGGGGTCTTGCCCTTATGTAGACGAGGCTTTTAGTTGCCAGGAGAATGGGAGGCAGGATGTCGATTATCTTAAATGGAGGTGGAAACCTGACGATTGTGAGCTTCCTAGGTAAAGGTTTTAATTCATCAATTCGTTTACTTTTTTTTTTGCGACTGAAATTGTGAAGTTTTGGAACTTATTGTGAGAAGAAAAGTTCACCTCCAAAATTGTTTTACGCGTTATTACAATTGTGAGGACTGCTGATGTCAAATTTAGGAGATGAATGTGATCTCTTTTTATGCTGCAACAACTATTCTGACTAAGGTCGTGCTGGTCTTGGAACTTTTATTTGGTCCGGTCACAGGACGTAGCTCTACGTTCGGCCGCCAGTAGAATCGTGCCACGCATTCTCACTATACCGCGCACCCCGACAACCCGACCCGGAACGGACCCAGGATGGCTCGGTATTTCTCGATTTTACTAGGTATTGCTCGGTATTACTCGGTATTGCTAGGTATTGGTCGATTTTGCTTGACAATAACCAATACCGAGCAAATATTGAGCAAATACCGAGTAATATCGAGTTGTACTGTGTTGTACTGAGTTTTTCTAGAAAAACTCGATACAACTCGGTACAACTCGGTATTTGCTCGGTATTGATCTTTACAGAACGATATTTCTCGTTATTGCCATGCAATACCGAGCAAATACCGAGTAATACCTCGCAATACGCGAACATATCATTCCTGGGTTCCGGTCCGGGTCAAGTCGTCGGGCCGCGCGGTAGAGAGTAAGAGCACATGGCAACATGTTATTGGCAGTCAAACGTAGCTCTACGTCCGGTCAGAGGACGGTCTTGACCAACTAGAAAGCTAGTGTTCAGAAGCACTATGAGTGAAAGAGAAAGACGAAATGAAATTAGAGAGCGGCACAGATAAATGAAAATTCAGTTTAGATTAATCTTCCTTGGGATCTCTTTGAGTATATTATTAAATTTCTTTTTTGAGATGAACATAAACAAGTTTTTCGTTCTCCATCAATTCCTCTTTCTAGCTAAATTTTGAGGATAAAATCATCCCTTCTTTTTTTTGGTTTATAGAGGTTATATATATGGGCATGAGATTTAAGCACTGACCGGTAGTAATCGCTTGTGCAATCCTATTACAAACTGAATTGCTCCAATAAATCCTTCGGAAATCCAAAATAACTTCTAGAGAACTTTTTTCAGAGTTTTCATCTTTCCATATGTATTTAGGTAGAGGTGATCAAATTTGATGCTCCTCTAACTTTTTTTATTTACTTTGAAGATACGACTTCATTATTTTTCTCACTAATAAGAATTTCAAGTTGACATATGGCTGACACTTCAATTGGCTGTGCTGCGGATTTTATCTGTCCTACCTATAGGGGCATTTTTAGCTCTTCAAGTATGGGGAATGAGGTGTGCATCATTAGCTATTTAATTAAGCTCATGGTGAATGAAATATTTTTAAGTTTTGCAGTGCAATTTTTATATGAATTGCATTATCATATTCACCTGTGCCATCATTTCATTCATCATAGCACTCTGCAGAGTAATTTCTTTATCTTTGGCCTTCATCTATTGCTTATTATATCACTATGTACAAGCCATAGTAGATGAAGTACTTTTTTTATCTTTGCCTCTCCTTTATGAGTGCTAATATTTGCATCAACTTCAATAATAATGCTATTAATGTCAGGTGTAGACTAATATTACATTAGTCATATTTATAGCCCTTCAAAAAAAACAAAAAAAACTAGATATGAGAGGATACAAAAAAAAGCCCCTTGGAAGCTTGTTTGGAAATGCTAACCCATTTTAGAAATGAGTATGAATGTTATCATTGCTAAAAAGAGTATTCTGAAAAAATTAGCAAAGTGATTCACGTTTTCTTGACATATTCATTAAAGCATTAAACTTTAGGGATCGATTTAATATTCCCACAATCATAACATTATTAACAAACTAGTAATCGACTGAATCCCTCATGCATGCATAACTATATCCACCATTATTAAACCTCTAAAAATTAATGACCTGAAGATGATGAGGCAAATAGGGATTACAACATTTTTAAAAATTTCAAGTGACTATTACATTTAGATTCTCTAATCTTTAACAGGGTTCTTTAAAGGAGAAAGATCATCCATTCATTTGTTCCAGAAGATAGGATCATTATATTCACAATTAAATAATATGAAGGAAATAAAATCAATCTATTCAGGAAGAAGAACACTTAGGGGTAAAGATTTATCCTGCTCATCAGTGCTGGAAAAATGATAAATCTTTAAATTAGATTCACAATCATTATGCATATCTACTAGCTTGAAAGGATTAAGCCTCTCTTCTTACAGGAATTAAAAATTACCCTTTCACATACACTAATAGATGATTTTTTGTTTAATAATACAAAGCCTATTCTACACGGGAGAATTAATAATCTTATTCATAAGTAAAAATGTGTGTTTAGAATAACAGTACTAAGAATGGAGAAATTTGGACAAAATGGAATCGTTCAATCTAAATCTCCACAACTTATGGGACATAACTTTGATATGGTCATTGAAATATCTAACACCAAAATTATCGTTAAAGGTAGGGTAATATATATTAGCCTTTTTGGATTAAATAATCTTTCTACAATAATCTCTAGCTATAAAAAAAGGAAAGTAGAAAAAGTAATTTGTGATGGCTTTCCTTGTGGGATTATTTAGTGCTTGCAATGGGATAATAACAAGAATATACTTAATGAGAGTCATTTTTACCCCAGGAGCTAAGAATGTCTTCCTATCTCGTGATTTTATGTTATGCTTCTTGATTACACAAGAAATTACCTTTTGAGTAGATGTGGACTCCTTGGAGAAGAAGAACAAAAGAGAGGAGAGAATAGAAAGAGAAAAATAGATTTTTATTCCTTGTTTTGTTTATTATAGCAATTGTATATTTATAGAATTCAGGTTTATTAAAACCTGTACTGAATTTTTGGCTAAGTTGAACCATTTTTAGGTCCAACGCTGAAATGCCTTATTAAAAAAAAAATGATACAAGAACGGATTAAATACATTAATAAAAGACAAATGTTGTTGTTTATTCCTTCGGACTTGACTTGTTGGCTCCAGTTTGAGTTGGTGTGCACCTATTGGTGATTGTCGATTATTGTTGCTACTTCTTGGAATGTCCGCCGGTTGTTGGTATAGATGCTGGTCTATCTTGTGAGTTTTTCCTCGTCGTCTATAGACTTGAATGTTGGTATTGTTTTCCTTGTCCCGTTCTTCAATATTTCTAATCCAATCTTCCCATTTATTCTGAATTATAGTGGAGTCCAAATGAATAACTTTCTGCCTAATACTTCTGTCACCTTGAAAAGCAACCTTGTCCTCAAGGTTGAGAGTTGGACAAAAGGAACAAAGAACTAAATTTTTTTCCCAATAAGCATCTTCTGGAGGGGATAATGTCCATTGTAAAAGAACCTATTTGTGAGAATGTTCACGGATGTGAATTAAACATGAAGTGAGAATTATAGACTGTTGTTGTGGCTGAAATTCGAGTGAGGAAGAGGGGTGATTGTTATAACGCTTATATAAAGTACTTGAAAGGGTCCAAAATAATGCTTGACAAGTTTAGAATGGGTGCTTTGGATGACTGATGATTGGAAGAAATGTTGTAATTTAACAAAACCCAATCACCTATGTTTAATTTTGCATCTCTATGGCGACGATCAGCCATGATTTTCATGCGGTGTTGAGCTTGTTGTATGTTTTGTCGAAGTGTTTGGAGTAGGGTATTGCGATTGGTTAAAAGTGTATCAACTGCAATGATATCTGATTGCCTCGTGTATAGGAAGGGTATCAACTGCAGCGATATCGATCAAACGTGCTTGATATGGTGTTATTTATATAGCGATATGGTAGGAGGTATTGTACCATAATTCTGCCTAACATAGGAAGGTGGAACATAGTTTTGGAGTAGTGGAGGTAAATGCTTGAAGATACTGTTCTAAACATCGATTGGGGATTTCTGTATGGTCATTTGTTTGTTGGTGATAGGCAGTGTTGTAGTGTAGTGTGGTGCCACTTAAAGCAAATAGTTTATGCCAAAAAGTACTTACATGATGTCGCGATAAAAAAAACAATGATTTTTAGAAAACCATGTAGATGGATGAACATATGGGCAAAGAGATCAATAACCCAAAAGGCGGAATAAGTGGTAGGTAAAAGACCAAAATGAGCAAATTTGGATAAATGATCAATAACAACTAAAATAACGGTGTAACCTTTGGAATGAGGTGAGCCGGTGATGAAGTTCATGGACAAACCTGCCCAAACTTGAGAGGGAATTGGAAGGGGAGATAGGAGACCAGTAGAAGCCATAATAGCTGACTTGATTTCTTGGCATGTGAGGCATTTACTAACAAATTTAGCAAGATTTTTATGTAATCCTGGCCAATAAAAACATGCAACAAGTTTTTTGATAGTTTTGAGAGTACCAACATGTCTTGCAAGAGGTGTAGAGTGAAATTCTGTAAGTCAGTAAGCAAGTAATTTTTGAGAGATGGGCGTTTACTCATATAAATATGGCTTTTGAAGTAGAGAAAGTTATCCCGGATTTAATAGTCCTTGGTTGATAAATCACCCTTGGTAAGTTGTGTTGTAATATGGAGTATATTTGGGGCAATCAATGTATAATACCCGAATATTCGAAATAAATGTAAGTATATACTTTCTCTAAATGTATATTGATTTTTATTAAATTCCACTTAAAAAAAAAATATAAAATCAACTAGTTTGACGTGTGGAAGTATGCATAGAATAGTAATCTAATTATCTAATTTAATAAATTGTACTAATGGTACAGCTAATGTATTTAACTGTTTATAATTAACTTATTATGATTTAAACAGTTGAGTCAAATCCACGTATTATGTATATGAAGAATTAATGCAATTCAGATTCTAAATTCCAGGATTCCACTTAGGTTAGCATGCATTGGCTGATCTTTTCCCTAGTCCATCCAACGGTTAGCATTACAGCTTAGTGGAATGCAAGAGTTAGTGGAATTAAGAATATCTATATTATAATGTATGGTGTGTACGGCTGAGAGAGTTTAT